ACTCTTCATCCACTGAGTAAAAATAAATTTAAAATTATGGTGGGTCAGATTTGAGGGCTCACTCTACTCGTCATCCATTGATTATAAATTTAAATAGTGTAATTAAAAAATAAGCATATTTAATTAGTATTTAGGTTGCTCTTACTTTGTAATAATTATACAATAATAAAATTGAGTAATACCAAAAATCTCTAATCATTAAGGCAATAAGACCAAACAAAATTTTGCACTCACTAAACTGAAAATCCTGAAATACATATATAACCCATATTAGCTCGTTCATAAATACAGCAACAAGTCGAATACAGATAGAAGCCAAGAACTTGAAGGAAAACTTAAACATGCGTATCGATATGTTACAACCAAATCCTCCACGACACTCAATTCAGCACATTAACAAGCAAAGCTAAAATGGTGGATTAAACATATTTGCGGGAGAAGCCCACATTTAAAATCATTGCTCTTTCTCAAATTACTCCAATGCAGAATTTATGTTAACAATATCAGAGATTAATTGATGAAACAGAAATTTATAGTTGATCTTGCTTTTCTTGTTCTCCATGATTGAGATAGATTGAGTTAAGATTTGAGAAGCAATACACAACAGTTTATAGCAACAATACACGGCAATACACAGCAGTAATATACAATAATACACACCAGTACATAGCAATAATGCACAGCAATATACAACAATACACATGATGTAGAACGAGAAGAGGGGGGGAAGGAAAACCGGCAGCATGCATGGGTTGGGGAGTGGATTGGTGGAGTTAATGCTCTCCTAAATTGAATTTCAGTTTTAGAAAGAGAGATAATTACTCCAATTTAATTTGAAATTGATTGGGATTGGGGGGGTAGGCGGGGAAGGAAAACCGACAGCATGCATGGGTTTGGGGAGTGGATTGGTGGAGTTAATGCTCTCCTAAATTGAATTTCAGTTTTAGAAAGAGAGATAATTACTACAATTTAATTTGAAATTGATTGGGATTGATTTAAGGGGTAACCCTAGATATTTAGGAAAGAATTTGAAATTTGAATTTGAATTTGAATTCAAAACAAATTGATTCTCTTTCCAAAATTATCTAGAATATTTTAGGAAAGTAGGCTATCAAAGCGAGATTGGCTCCAATCAAGAGAAAGAGGGTTTAATGGCCTTAATTGGTGGGATGGGAAATTAATTGAGGAGACAATATGGAAAGGGGAGGGGCCGGCCATGGGTGGAGGGAAAGATAATATCTACATTCTATGTATGTGGATCAAGCGTTAAATGGGATAGGGGGAATTAAATATGAAATTAATTTTAGATTGGGAGTAATTGGAGGAGGCTCCCTAATGTAGAATTTATAAAATTGGAATGAGAGAAAGAACAACGAGCCTTGGACACTTCCAAAGACTAACGGTTATTGCGTTGCCCTTCACCAAGGGACTTCAAGCCACGAGCCCGGACCCATCCTGCGACTGGTGGAAACTCTGATTCCCTCCCGTAGAAATCTCACCCAAGTTCTCTCCAAAGAACACGAGTGCAAACAAAAGTTTTTAATAACCCATCATACCTAATACAAGAGAAGGAGGCTCTATATATAGGCCTCAAATGAAACTAAAAGACAAATTTGTCCATTGGGCTTACATAAGATAATACTCTTAAATAAAATGGTAAAAAATGAAAATTGCAAAATTAAATCAAAATACAATTAATAAACTAAAATAAAAAGGAGTGATCTCGACCGTTGATCTTCGAATCTTCCTTTGATATCGTCCACCGTCGGATGTCCGTATCAACACAGATGTACAAAGCAATACACAACAATACACAATAACAATATACAGCAATACACAGCAACAATATACAGCAATACACAGCAGGCGAGGTAACAATACACAACAGTACACAGCAATATAAAGTAGTACACAGCAATACACAACAGTACATAGCAGTATACAACAATAATACAAAGCAATACACAACAGCACACAACAACAATACGCAATAATGCACAGTAAAAAAATCATTTTTCACATAATTTTCGTAGTACACATCTATGAAAAAGCTGACAAAGTTATAAAATGAACAAAAATAACACTAAAAATTTTATAGAGTTGATTTACAGAAGCATGTGTTTTCCCGCCATGACATATCAACAATGAGCTTTTACTACGATATTCAAAATACAAACTATCTATAAATCACGAAGTATAAACGACTTACAAGCTCTAAAAACAAGCAGGTCGAACCCTGCCAACGGGTGCTGCCCCCTTGGACCCCCGCGGCTAAAATTTTTTAAACGTCAAGTCTTCCTCTTCCTAGATATTTGCATACCGCCTTTCGGACTCTATATCCTGTGGGCAAATCATCTGCTCGAAGAATGCAACTTCCTCCTCCAAATCAGTCTTCATCTTCATCAACTCTTCCTCATTTTTTGTTTCTCAGAAGGTACCAAAAGTTTTATTTTGCAAAAACCCTAAATATTTGAGAGCTTTCGCGGGTTTCTTTTTTAAAAACATAAAAAATGAGCGGGTTGACGCGATTTCAAATTTTTTTATAAATGGGTTGGGTCTAGTCAACGGGTCATAAAAAAATCCACGTGTTTTAATTTAATTAGAGTATGGACGAAGAGATACGTCTGAAGTCTGCACAGAATAAATTCTCCAACTTTACAACTTTAATTATAAATTTTAAAAGTACAAGTCTGCACTAATTGATTATCAATTAGTTACAAGTACAAAAGAAAAAGTTGTATTACAATTATTACAATTACAATTGAATTAGTTATTACAGCTATGATTCTAACGTAACAATCTATTTCAATCTTATCTATTTTTTGAAGATCAAATAGTTTTCTGCCATTCAAGTTGAAGTAACTTTGAAGTCTTTCATACAGCCCGATTGTTTCCTTATATTTATTTGCTTGATTTCTAGTGCAGGTTGCAGTTTTACATCATTACTCTTGCCATAAAAAATTACCTTGCACGCGAGGCCTAATTCTGGATGAACATACTTTAACTCATCCAATAGTACCCACGAAGCATCCTCAGCTAGTAAACTATTCATTTTGATTAGAACTTGAATGATTGTTTGAGTTCCTGCATGATCGTCCTCTACTGAAGCAAATTTAATGGTCTAATTAATGTTTTTAGGCCAAATTCTGGATGAATAGACTTTAAATCATCCACCACATGCACTTCTCACCAAATATCAATGTGCAAACTAAATCAACGCATCTTTGAGAAAAGAAAGTGTAATGCCTGAGATTTGATTAGAGCGCTCTTCAAAATGATTGTAATAATCTTCTGCAATAACTGTTAGGTGCATTTTTTCAAGTTCTTTCAAGCTAAGATATAGGAAGGATCAAATCTTCGTGAATCACTTTCTTTAAAAATATATTCGAAGAAGTCAAGTGTTTGTTTATATGCAATCATTGATACCAACTTAGTGTCGATCCATTCATTCAGACTGATCCAAACATAAATCTTTCTTCTTCCAAATGGTTGAAATAAGAGTATAATTGGTTAGTTCATAACCTACAAATGACATTAACAACCGTGGCATCTACTCAAGTCTTGGAAAGAAGAGGAACATCCACCAACATAGATATGTATAATACCTGAAAACAGCATGTTCTTTCTCATCCTGCTGCAGAACACACACGATTGAACGAATAAAATTCTCCACTGGAATTATGTCTGCATCTACAACTGACATTGTAATACGTACAAAGTCAAAACAAGCCTGTTTGTCAACGACGAGATCAGGAGCCGGGGAAATGAAAAAATCATAATAGAAAATCGACAAGAAAAAGCAAGAAATTGAAATCGCACCCACCGTATGCAATGCCCCGTCGCCGTAGCACAAAAGAGAGCAGGCAGCAGAAACAAAAGATGCGTGCATTAACCCTTCCACGTAAAGGGTCCCTTCGGTTAGGCATTTGCTCAGAAGCCTCATAATCCATGCGGCAAAACACTGCCACCGAGGCTTGTCGCCAAGATCAACCACAATACCTGCACCATCCTCCAGCAGGCAACAAGCAGGAATCTCGCTGAATAGAGACGGGGATGTAGAAATTAAAGAAAAAGTCTCACAGAAGCACTTCAAGGAAACACTTCTTGATGGCACCATGTCCCGGTGCAGAAATGCCACATAAGAAACATCTGCAGGTCAAGGGAGTTAGAAAAGAGTACATCATCACATTGCACGAATTAGGAATGATAAAATAAAAATAAATCACACCTTCAACGACCAGCATGGCGTCTAGGAAGAACTGGCGGTAGGCGTCTCGCTCTCCCGTTCGGAGCAGCGTGAGCAGGGTGGACACAGTGTCGAAGATGAGCTCATGGTGGGAGCTGCAAGTAAAGCACCAAGGCAAGAAAGATCAGTCGGGGTTTTGTCGAGATTAAGTTTCCGGTTAGGGTTTGAGGTTAGAATAAAAACCGGAAGGACGGCTCGGCAAGGAAGGGGAGGACGCGGCCGATAACAGGGAGTACAGCCGTGGCCTTGCCGTGGAAAAAAACCCCGGGAAAGTTCCGGGCGGTATGGGAGAGGAGTTTCAGCACGGCCGTGACTTCTCGTTCCTTGGCTGGGGGACGACAAGAAGAGGGGGATTCGATTACTATTTGAAAAGTTTAAACATGAGGAAGAGTAGCAGGATGGAGAAGTACCAGAGGGTGATGGGACCACATATGCGTGGAGGAGGTTAGGAAGGACGACGCGGAAGCGCGACTCGAGAGGATCCGCATCACTGCAGCCGCCTCCCCCGGCAGAGGAAGATGTAGAGGCGGCGGCAATGCGCTCCCGAAGCTCGTGGATGAGAATGGAGAGGTTCGCCATTAGGGCGGTGACCGGAGACCTTCGCCTTCCGCGTATAGCTTATCACCGACCAGTAGAAGCAGAGTGTGAATGACCTTCGCGCAGGACATTGGACGCCTCGCGCGCATGCTGGAATTTGAACGCGATAATGCTTGTTTGTGAAGTGATTAGTGAGCTTTCAAAGGAGCGCTTTGGTAAAGGTAGATGGAACTGAAAAATTCATTATTTTAAAAGATAATTAATTATGTAAAACTTAAATATTCTATATTTATTAATTTTGTTTTATTTATAATTTATATAATTTCATTTAAATGTTGAAAAGATTGTAAAAATATGAACCCAACGACACCAAATTTGATCTAATTTAAGCTCAAATGGGTCCAAAACGAGAGCATGAAACATATTTAGAAAGATTAAAGCATGAATTGGAACATCAAATGATAGTCAAATGTGACATGCTTATAATAGAATTGAGCGGATCGACAAGACGAATCCAACGAGCCCAAGATCGCTGAATTTGACATCATTAAGATACTCAAATGCTCGATAAAATAGTCTATGATCAAGAGAATCAATATATGTCATACATCAAAAACACTCTCAACATGCTCTTAATATTCTCTTTGTCTACTAGCCATGACACTCCCAAAAAACGATAAATATATCTCTCAATCTTCATTAAAAGGTGAGTAAGCAAGAGAAAGAGGAGAAGAGATAAATTGAAATTTGGGAGTTCTCTTGCCACCAAGCTTCTCCTCCTCGACCACCCCCAGGCCATCAATATATAGTCGTTGGACTTCCGCCAGGCCACACACCGTCGTCAAACTTCCGTCCGACCACCGACCCTAGTCGGACTTTTGTACGACAGGCATCAGACTTCCGCTCTGCCATCGTCAAACTTTTGTTTAACTGTCATCATTCACGCAAAGTTCAACCCACTTCCTGGACTATTGTAATCTAACCATCTTTAAGTTTAGGGACAATATTTGTAATCTATTCAAGTAATATTTGAATCATTTCAACTAGGTGTGGCATGTGGTTTTTTCTCTTTTTCAGGATTTTCCACATAAAAATCCTGATATTTCTAAATTCATTATTTGTGTGTTGGGTATCCGTGCAACGTTAAAATAAAATATTTTCTTACATTACTGTTGTGAATATTCTAGCCTGCAACATTTAGTATGGATTACAAGGTGCATAAAAATTCTCATTTTGAAATTGATCTTTTATAGTATTTGTCTAATTGAGGGAAATAAATTTATTGATATGATATTTAAAAATTTACAGAAGAAAAATATGTGGTGTGTGTATTGGAACTTACTTAATTAGTAAATCAAACAACACCCTTCCAAATAAAAATTTTATGTATTTGTGAAGCAATAAGCTATTTCTTCGTCTCTCAATTTGATACGTCCTAAAAAATTGCCTTGATCGAGCACGAAGCTCGAGGCATATTCAAATTGGAATTTTTTTTGGTGTC